ACTTCTTACATGTTTCTAGGAGAGGCTGTTCCTTGGAGAGGGACATCGTACTTGGAAAGGTGGAAGGTCAGCAAAGGAGGGGAAGACCTCCTTCACACAGTGAAGTCACACGGTGACTGCAGCACTGGGGTCAAGTGTGCCAGAGATGATGAGGACGGCACAGGATAGGACAGGGTTCAGGTCTGTCGTTCAAAGGGTCACTGCGAGTCAGACTTGACTTGGACGCACCTCCCAACAAGCTAAACCAAACCCACTGCCATGGCATTGATTCCAACTCTCGTGACCTTGCAGAACAAAGCGGAACTGCCCATGGCGTTGTCAAGGCTACAGATCTTTAGAGGAAGCAGTCACATCCTCCTCCCAAGCACCACCAATCCTTCTGTCTGCAGCTGAACACTTAACCACTGCACCACCAGGACTCCACCGTGACACTAACAACTCACTGCTATAGAGTCACTTCTGACTCACAGTTAGCCTCCACTGGGTGGTGGATAAGGATGTTGATCTTAAGGAGAGGAGACTGCCCCTCTTTCTCCCAAGGAGCAGCTGGTGGATTTGAACTGTCCATCTTTCGGTTAACGTCACAACACATTATGAACTTCGCCACCAGAGCACCTTATTATTGTGGTGGTGTTCTTGTTGTGATGTGCCATCCGTCTGGAGCAGAACTGACCCTCGAGGGGGTTTTCAGGGACAGTACATTGCACAGGAAGAGACCGTCCATCTTTCTCTTGCTAAGCAGCTGGTGGATGTGAACGTCAAGTCTTTGAGTGGGCAGGGCCACTCCCTGCTATTAGGGCCCTATTGTTATAAGTGAAGCCATCATTGATTGTCACTGTCGGGTGCCATCAAGTTGGGTACAACTCATAATGACCCTTTGAACAGCAGAGCTACATCTTGCTCTACCCTGTGCCAAACTCATTATCTCTTGACACACTTGAACCCATTGATGCAGTCACTGTGTCAATCCACTGTGTCAATCCACAATCGTTGATGGTCTTCCTCTCTTTCACTGACCCTCCAACTTTCCAAGCATGGTGTCCCGGCTGATTCCATTTCACAGCAACCCCAGGAAGGGAGAAATGGATGTGGGGAAGTAATTGCCCTTCATAGAGCACACTGTCTTCAAACACAACTTGCCCAGTGCCACCATGCAGGGGGAGTGGAGGTATCCAGGATGAATGGATGACTTGGAGTCATGGTGATGACAGAATTACAACTGGCTCTTTCAGAAGCTTGTACAGAGGGAAAAGCTCTCTGCAGCAAAGTAAACTCATATTGTTACAGCCCAAGGGGCTTACCACTCATGTCGCAGGGATGTTAGATTCATAATTACAAAAAAATTAAAATGAGAAAGTTCACAGATCCATTTTTAAGCAGAGCATGAATTATGACCAAGCCAAAGCCAACTCTTCTTGATAACAAAGCATAGATTCCTTATTTAGACGCTACAGGCCAAGATTAAATTCTATCATTTGGGGTTTCGGCAGCATGAGCTTTACAAGGGAGGAGGTGTGAACTGAAAAACATAAATAACATTCTATATTTGACACATCCTTCTGCATTTTGGGAAGTGAAGGGTTTTTTGAGGTCACATTTTTATTTATGAAGTTCCCCAAACATTTCCCCTTTTTTTTCCCATCTTTTCAGGATGCACTGGGACCACCACAGTCCTGGGAGATGCTGGCCGTGGTGACATGAACTTGTCCTTTATCCTAATCTGGGCTGCCAAGTTTCCACAGGCAACGTCACTTCTGCTCAAAGATGCTGGCACGGCGCCTCGGTTCCTTCACACAGTGAAGCGCCCACGAGCCTCCCTCCTTCTTCCCCAACAGACTTTGGAAATGAGCTTTGTTTGGCATCCAGGCAGCACCCCTGGTTACAAACGCCCAACTTTCAGACAGCTCGTAGTTACCCTTTATTAACTTTGTCAGATGAACGCTTATTGAGCTAAGTGCTTTTCCACTCATCAGCCCGTACAGTAAGCTTCATGCCACTGCCGGCAATCCTCACACTACCCGCTTCCTCCTGATGGTTCCCTTTTCCACTCGTCCTGTTCCCCCGACCCTTTCTGCCTTCGGAGTTTTATCCCTGGCAATGCCGTCCTTCTGACCTTGTGTAGTTGGTTGTTCTAAGAAGTGAATGCCTGCCTGGTGTTCCTGTTCTCCTTACAGGCCTAACCACTGTTTGAAAGTGGAGTCATGGGGTTGGTTTCAGTCCCAGGCTAGGAGACCAAGGAGGTGCCCGCATCTCAGGAGCTCCACCAGTCTCCTTCAGGCAGTAACCGAGGACATCCTGGGATTTTGAGTTGTGTTCTACCTTGGCAGGGACATTCTACAGGTCAGCCAACATCTTGATCTTCTGGCCTCAGGGCTCCGGAGCCTGAAGTTGGAGTGACCTGTTAGTGCTTTAGACTGATCTTACCATCTCATCTCATCGCCGCCATCAAGTCACAACTGAGTCGGCTGAACCTCCCTTCCATCGGGTTTGTGAGGCCAGAAATTGTGTAGGAGGAGATCCCCATGGGCAGTTTGCTCCTATACAAACGGACAGCCTTGGAAACCAGCTGGCGGGTTCGTGACTATGAGTAGGAACCCAGTGGAGGGTAGTGAGCATAGGAGGGATTCTTTTCCAGAGAGCACCAACCCTTCTGTCTGTCGCTCAGAGCACGTTACACTTGGCTCAAGTCTACTCGTTCAAGTCAGCACCCACGTTTCCTAACAGAAAACGAGCCCCCGGGTAACTGGCCAAGCTGCTCCACGCGGGTGAGCTTGGTCCATCCACGGCCTTCCTCATACCCACATCAAGGATCCACAGCTCTCACCCAGACCCACGTCCAGTTCTCTCATAAAGGTCCCACAGACACAAATGCAAGGAGTCTCATGGCTTGCACATACTTTTTATTTGTTGAATAAATGGGTATTTTTCACTATGTACATAAACACACAGAAGCGAGCGTAGACATGAGTAGTATCTGGATTCGGAGGCTCCCGGCCACAGGCTGGCCGCGAGGCTTCAGGGAACTGAATCCGAGCTCTGCTTCCTCAACTGTAAAACCAGGGTCTTGAGACCTGCGTGGGCCCCACACAGGTTTATTGCAAGGTTCAAATTCAGAAACCTAAGAAAGTGCTGGGAGACCAACTCAGGGCAACACAAATATAAATAGAACGAGGAACAACGAGGTGAACTTCAAGTGGAGGAATACGTCATCACGCCCTCGAGTTACACCGGGGTCCGCATGGGGTAACCAAGAGGTGACAGGAGAGCAGAGGAGAGCAGGATCAAATACACCCCAGCCCTCGGGGCAGGAACCCCCACAACAGCCTGTGGCCAGTTCCCGAGATTTGAGAACTCTCTTCTGGAAGCATGAGCGCCACATGTCCCGTGTTTATTTACACA